GATTACCCCTAACCGCTCACCTGCCTGCCTGATCACCCCTAACCACTTGCCTGCCTGCCTGATCACCCCTAACCACTTGCCTGCCTGCCTGATCACCCCTAACTGCCTCTACCTTGGCTCCCGCTGCTGTGGCTTCATCCAGAAGGACAGGATGTCCGGAATGATGTCCGGGAGGTTGTTTGGCTGTCTGGTCTAATTAGCATATCATGCTTTTATTATTATAGATACCAACCCTGGCCTTTGTCAAAATGTCTGGTAAATTCTGATATCTTCCTTGATCTTTCTGAGTTTAGGAGATCCTCAGACCTCAAGTAGTGCCTCTGCACAAGGAACTGATAGCCAACTTCTGAACCAGCCAGAAGAGCCAGTTTCCTCAGCACCATCTCTCCCAGTGCCTGACAAAGAACCCACAGTGAGTCCCGAGCAGCTTCCTGGATGGTGTTCTAAGTATTAGAGAAGTCCATAGCCTCCAAGTCTGTGGTCCCTGGAATTGCCACCTAGTTGATGCTGCTTTAATAATATTGGGGGATATTTGTCACCAGGCTTCCAAACTGGCTTTCTAGATGCACCTTGACTTCTTTACTATATTAGCCACTTCCAGTGATGGTCTGTGAGGTTATTCCCTGGAGAAGGGATATATGTGCCTCCTGCATAGGGTCTTTTTTTAAAAAAAGTATTTTTTTTATTGATTTCAGAGAGGAAGGGAGAGAGAGAGATATGTATAAACATCAGTGATGAGAGAGAATCATTGATCGGCTGCCTCCTACACGCCTCACACTGGGGATTGAGCCCACAACCCAGGTGTGTGCCCTGACTGGGAATCGAACCGTGACCTCCTGGTTCATAGGTCAACTGAGCCTCGCCGGCTGGGCATCCTGCCTAGGGTCTTTTATCACATAGACTCCAAAACACTGTGTCAACCACCTCAAGAAGGCCTCATCCTAACCAGAGCCGTAGGAGGAAGAAAGGTCCTTTCCTAACTGAAGTGGTCTGTTCAAAACCCCTATTAATTTGGGTTGCTTTTTTCTCTAGGGTACTTCAGGCCCTGTGAAGAGACCTCAGCTGTCCAAGGTCAAGCGGAAGAAGCTAAGGGGGCTCTTCAGTTAAGCCACTGTCTCAACTGCTGAGGATGGACCCAGAGAACAGTTCCTGGTGCCACCTTGAAAGGAGCTCCTGGGGCAGCAGGAACTCTGACATGGTTACATCATCAGAGGCTGGATCACTGAAGTTCATATTCACAGGCCACCTGAATGAGTGCTATTAACTGACAGAATCTTGGCTCCACCCATTGGGCATTGGCCTGTCCCAGTGGAAGCCAGTCTCTGGGAATCCCATACCTTCCTCTCTTTTGGTGGAGGCTCTCTAGACCCACGACCCTACCATGGACTTTAGGTGTATAGAACAAGTCAGCAAAAAGGCACAACATGCTTAGGAAGCCTTGCCTATCTTTCTCAAGAGTCCCTAGCCAATTCCAAGTGCTCCTCAGAGACCCACTTCTCTCTTTAGCTTGGAACAAAAGGCACTCACACTCCCCTGCTTTTGAGAGTACTTGTTCTTCGGAATACATTACCCACTTCACGTTACTGGATACCACTCCACTGTTGTCTCTTAATAAAGTCTAGGCCCTTAGTCCAATCATTTGCTTCCTCATATGCTTCTCTACTGTGGCTTGTGCTAAGCCTCCATGTGGGAACTTTGACCTTGAGAACTGTCTCCATGGTGGGCACAGATGGAGCAGATTGCTTATGCTCTCTTTTGCCTAATTGATGTGGTGGTGTTTTTTTGTCTGTTTCCAAGGCATAGACAACAGGTTAAACTACAGTAGGGCCAAGGTAGTTTCCCACTGGAATGGGACAAAAAGAAATTTTACCTTCCCCTCCTTTGCTCCACTTCAAATAACGTAGAACTAGAAGAACTAGGAAAGATAGGATGACAGGGAAGAGGAAATAGCCACAGGAGTTCTCGGGACAACATAATTGACCTAGAGAATGAATAGTGCTTTGCAAGAAAAAACATAAAGGCCATATGAGATAGGCAGAATCTTAGACAGTTAGAAAGTCAACTCTGGACAGATCTGGAAAATGTGGCAGACCAGATTGGCAAAGTCCCTTGTCCTTCTCTGCTAGGTTTTCCTATATAAGTAACCATCTGAAACTCTACCTTTGAGAGACAGGAAGGAAAGTAGAACTCAGATGTCAACTGGGATCTGTAGGGTAGAAGAAGGGGTCAGGGGCAGAACCCACAGAGGCCTTTTCTGGTTTATTTACCATACATATGGTGGTGAAATGCCTCCTCGCCCTCATATTCTCTCTGGCTGGGATTGGTGTTTCTGTCCTCATATCAAGTTCTGGGAGAGTGGGCAATCCAAGCAATAATAAAATAATGATTATAAAGAGAACTACAATAATGACATTTATTGAGCAGTTAATGTATACCAGGTTAAGTGCCTGACATGGATTCCTCACAGCATCAGATGAGGAAGATACTGCTAACCCACTAGGAAATGGAGTCTTGAAGAGATTAAGTGGCTTATCAAAGGTCACACAACTAATAAGTAAGAGCCAGAATTTGAACCCAGACAGCTGAGTTCCTCATTCTATACATTACTGAAACCATTTTCCAGGGAGGATGTCAGATCCTTCTTTCCTGTCTTCCACTGTGGCATCCTTCTATGACCCTGCCTATTTTCAATAGGATATTCTAGTCCTCATTGCTCCTCAAGGCAGGAAACTTTAAAGACTCCGGGACTTACCTCCATGTCCTTACCTGTTGGTAGAGTTGGAGAGAGTCACCAGGGCTCATCCCAGTTGCTGCTGTTAACTTTCTTTACCTCCAGACCACAGTGTCCTAGGGTGTACCCAGTCGTGACTGTCATCGAAGTGAAGTCATTGGGAACCAAGTAAAATCAATCTATAGATGCCTCATTTTATTCTTTAGTTTCTTTTTGGCATAATTTAGGTAACCAGATTTCAGGATCTACAAGATATGAGACCACATGGGAAAACGGAAAGACTTCCCCAGCAAGCTGGGAGAAAATATGGGTTCTTCACCTGGATAATCCCTCTACCTTAAGAGCACAGTCTCCAGAGTAGGCCTTTTTCATCACAGGGGGTTCTGCGGTTTGTGAGTCCCCCCAAATTATAAGTAAAATCCTAGAAGCATAACTTTGTTTCATGTTCTCAAAAGAATGTGTACTTTTTTAAAAGGGTTAAGTAAGAATATGCCTAATGACCTC